CAGATGTCAAAGAGAAGAACAACTACCAGACTTTTAGAAGACATCTAAAGGCAGCCCTGTTTAGGGAAGCTTTTAATGTTTAATAGGTTATTGTATTTTAGTGTTCTGTTGGAAGCCGCCCAGAGTGGCTGGGGAAACACAGCCAGATGGGTGGGGTAATAATAATAATAATAATAAAGAAATAAATTATTATTATTATTTTGAGGCTTATGATTTATGTGGAAATTTTTCAATTTGGTTGTGTACTTTTTGATGTTTTGTTATGTTTGTAGTTATGTCATTGTTTTATATGTTGCATCTGGAAAGGAGGCATACAAATAAATGATTGATTATCTTCTATGGCCGCTGGCTGAAAAATCATTTGAACCAAACTGAAATTGTAATAAACACAACCAAAAAAACTGCTTTTCCAGGAGAAGAGGGTTTGAAACCAGAAATGTAACATATGCAGCTTTTAAAATGGTGAATCAAATGTAAATATTTAATAGATGAATTATTGGGCCATGCTGTGAGGATGTTTACAGCACCTTCAATAGCTCTGATCACTATATGCTTTAAATGTTAATTCACAACCTGCATTTGTCACATATCTGCTGTATACAGATGCCAGGCCATTTTCTCCCATAATATCCCATAAGTTGTTGTGCTTTTTTGGGTGGACACTGCCGCTGGCTGCAGTATTCCGGATGTGTTCAAGAAATTCCAGACGTATGGCCACCCTGTCTCTTATCTTGTCCTCTTTCATTAGGAAGAAGAATGCCCCTACATGCATGTGCTTTTTCTTTCACATAGGAAATAATGGATTTTGTGGATTGTGGTTGTAATCTCTACCGGCTAAGAAAAGTTCATGCCCATTTTAGCACACCACTGAATTCACACAGGTTTTTTGAAACTTCTACAAAGTATGAATGAAAGAATGAATGGGACGCGGGTGGCGCTGTGGTCTAAACCACTGAGCCCAGGGCTTGCCGATCAAAAGGTTGGCGGTTCGAATCCCTGCGACGGGGTGAGCTCCCGTTGCTCTGTTCCAGCTCCTGCCAACCCAGCAGTTTGAAAGCACCCAAAAAAGTGCAAGTAGATTACCTACTCCGGCGGGTAGGTAAACAATGTTTCCATGCGCTGCTCTGGTGTCGGTGTTCTGTTGCGCCAGAAGCGGCTTAGTCATGCTGGCCACATGACCTGGAAAAACCGTCTGCTTAAGCGGACAAACACCGGCTCCCTCGGCCTGTAAAGCGAGATGAGCGCCGCAACCCCAGAGTCATTCGCGACTGGTCTTAACTGTCAGGGGTCTCTTTACCTTTACATAGTATGAACTGGAGCAGATTTGATATCCCGCTTTATCACTACCCGAAGGAGTCTCAAAGTGGCTAACATTCTCCTTTCCCTTCCTCCCCCACAACAAACACTCTGTGGGGTGAGTGGGGCTGAGAGACTTCAGAGAAGTGTGACTGGCCTAAGGTCACGCAGCAGCTGCATGTGGAGGAGCGGAGACGCGAACCCGGTTCCCCAGATTACGAATCTGCCGCTCTTAACCACTACAGCACACTGGCTCCTCAGCACATGTAGAAGTTAAGGTTAAGCTCAGCACTTCTGTGGATTTCTACAAGCCCAGTGGAATCCTGTTGCTTACCTATTTGAAGGCATGGTCATCTGACAGGTAATCAGTAGCAGATGGCATGGTGGGGTGGAGATGCTTAGCACTCCCAACAGCCAGTGTCATAATGTGGTTTGCCAGTGGCAAGGGTTGGGGGGAATGCGCACCCACTGGGGCCGATGCACCCCTTGGCAGGCAAATCCCCCTGGTGCTGCAGAGAGGAGCACCAGGCGGTGCTGTTCTGCCTGCCTCCCTCTGTCTGAGCCTGCTCACCGTCCCAGGAATGTGAGGGGTGAGCAAGCGCTGGCCAGCTGGCCATTCAGCAAGGGGGCCAGGGATGTGGCAGCAAGACCAGCTTGGACTTTGAGGACCAGAGACCCAAACAGCAGCAAGTCAGCTGGTGGTAGGCCAGTAAGTGTCCCAACCACAATGTCTGCTACTATGGATAATGTGAAAAGGCATGTTATGAAATGAGGGCTGTGCAAGTTGCTTTTGCTCTGGAGCATGAATAAACCGTATGGTTCATAGAGAGGGGGGAATGAATGGTGAAATGGGAGCATGCACAGACTAAAGGTCAAAGAACGAGTTGGCAGTAAATCACACCTTTCAAAGTTGGAGTTAACTCTTTCTTAGCAGAAATACAATTTTCACAGATCTGGCTGAGTGTCAGGTCCAATGGGTACAGCAGCTCACATCTAGTATGAATCAGTTACCGAGAGTGAAAGTATCTGCTGCCCCACAGCTCCCCCCCCCTCCAGGGCTTTCCCCAAGCAATCAGAGACTGACCCTGCATGCAGCCTGTCGCAGCTCTCTGTGTTTCAGCCCTCTTCTGGTTCTGGGAGGCCAGGGAGGAGAGGGGATTGTAGCAGCAGGAGGGGGAGATAACCACGACTCTTCACCAGCCTGACTTATCTCTGCTTCTTGGTTTCGAAGGTGACCCGGAAACTACAACTAACCCAGAATGCGGCAGCTAGACTGGTGACTGGGAGTGGCCGCCGGGGCCACATAACACCGGTCCTGAGAGATCTGCATTGGCTCCCAGTACGTTTCTGAACACAATTCAAAGTGTTGGTGATGACCTTTAAAGCCCTAAACGGCCTCAGCCCTGTATACCTGAAGGAGCGTCTCCACCCCCATCATTCAGCCCAGACACTGAGATCCAGCGCCGAGGGCCTTCTGGCGGTTCCCTCATTGCGAGAAGCCAAGTTACAGGGAACCAGGCAGAGGGCCTTCTCGGTAGTGGCGCCTGCCCTGTGCAACGCCCTCCCACCAGATGTGAAGGAAATAAGCAGCTATCTTATCTTTAAAAGACGTCTGAAGGCAGCCCTGTTTAGGGAAATTTTTAATATTTAATGCTGTATTGTTTTTAACACTCAGTTGGAAGCCACCCAGAGTGGCTGGGGAAACTCAGCCAGATGGGCGGGGTATAAATAAATTATTATTATTATTATTATTATTATTATTATTATTATTATTATTATTATTATTATATTTCCCTCCTCCCATTTCTGCCTCTAATTCTGGACTTCTCTCTGCCACCGACTCTCCCAGCTCACTAAACCTTGTTACGTCTTCAGCTTTCAATGCCTGCCCTTCCCTGTCTTCTCCCTGTGGCCGCTTCTCGTTGTTCCTCCACCACTCCCCAGGCTCTGAACCTTCTTCCCTTGGTGGTTTCCCAGCTAGTTCCTCCCACTATTCCTCTGCATTCAACCAGCCCAGGACACTAACCATCCCCTGCATAGTCCTTTCACGCTGTCTGAATATGTCCCTGTGCACAGGACTGGCTTGGGACATTTTGTTTGCCACTTGAGCAAATGAACAGAAAATGGTGCCCCCCTTCTCCTCATCTGCCATCCACCGAAGCACCCTGCTGCTCCCACCGAAGCTGCCTCCTTCTGGACCCATGGAAGCTGCCCCGTGGGGAGAATAAAGGAGGCTAGGGAGGAGCAGGCAGCAGAGGTGGTGAAGCAGCAGGCAGTTCTCCCAACTGTCCCCCAATCATGGGTGGGCCAGCTCTGCTTGTGGATCATTGCTGGAAGGACTTTGGGAAATCTTTAAGGACCTTTTAGGGATGGGGGGAGAAATCTATTAAGAAACAAAAACTGAAAGACAAAGGAGCACATGGGAGAGGTGTACTGAATATCCCCTCCTCCTGCCCCATACTTGTGTCTGTGACGTTAACATATGAGAGTGCTGGAGGTGAAATAGTTAAACAGGTTACCCAATCAGAACCCAGGGGGGTGGAGTCAGAGGGACTATAAAACCAGCTCTGGGAGGGGCGAAGGAGGAGTTCGTAGGGAGTTGGGTGGTTGGTTGGAGTGGGAGTGAAGTGGGATAGAGTCTGTGGGGAAGTTGAGTTAGTGTAGCGAAATAAGCTGAGTCAGGAACAGTTAGGAGCTAGGAAGACAAGTAAATATCTGAGAGGTGGTTTAGTGAGTGAGAGCAGGTAGCGGAAGTTATAGGTCTGGATAGGCACCCCATGATTGTAATTGACTGAGACCGTTTATGAAACCACACGCTTGTTAAACTGCAATAAATAAACAAAAGTTCATTTAACCCTGACTGGATTCAGTATTTTCCCAGGTAGGGCCTGGGTGGTGGCAGCGAGAAATAAAGTGGTGGCACAGGGATCAATAGACGGTGAAACGTCCAGGGACCCTGTGTGATTGCCACGGTGTCCACCTAAAGTTGTGATCCCTCTCTCTCTCTCTCTCTCTCTTTCAGCATATGTCATGAGTTGATGCTCTAATAGCAGTAAGAGGGATTTCCAGATGAAGCACCACTTAGAGCTGCTTCTGGTGTCGTAAAGGAGGAGCGCTAAGTAGGAAACACCATGAGCATGGCACGTACTTAGTCTCATATGACATTGTGCATTTTTGTTTCATTGTGATCATGTGCCAGGAAACTCCCGGCCAACTGCAGTTTCCCAGCACAGTGAAGCATATGCATGTTTCAATTGCCACACATGATTATTCTGTTTCCACTCTCCCCCGCCCACCCCAGCCCCCAGCAAGTAGTGATATTCATGTAGATAACTTGTCACATTTGTAGTGGCCCTTAGGAGAGAAGCAACCAAGCAAATCTGTTTGATCAGACCTTTCCCACTCATTATGTAGACTGCTATCTGCATTAAAGCTTTCAACCATTACGTACACCACAGAGCTAAAGCTATTGTTAACTTAGGTGATGGATTACAATTGAGAATGTTAATGTTACCTAAAAGAACACTTTTAATGTATGTTGCTGTAAAATAAACAAGGTCATCAAAATTAAATGGGATGTCAATGGTCTACGAAGATCACAAAGTAAACAAAAGTTCTTAAAATAAGCATGAAACCTGAATACCCCTGAGATTGTCGTGTATCAAAGACATTTGTTTATATGAAGTAAAGAGAAAATTACTTACTGGTAATGTTGTTTGTCATAAGTCTACATCTAGGCCCATCAGACTGCAAAAATCCATCATGATGAACAATGCTGTGTCTACTTCTAAGAGGAGGCAAGGATAATGTGAAAGTGACTCATTACATTCAATTTTTTTAAAAAAATATAATATTATGGGCTTGTAGCTTATTCACTGGCAAGTCCAAACAATTGCCATTTAGTTCTACTGTAAAATAATCAATAATCCACTTTAATGCTTTCCAATAACATGTCAGATAAGTCCAAATGCGGCTCATTGGGCAAAAGCATATTGACAACAAGTTTGTCAGCTATAAACAAATTATTTTAAAGGCCATGCTGTCATTACATTTCTTTATTCTAATTTTTAAAATGTTTGCAGGGAGGCAGAAAGAAAAAGCCAATGGGTGCATTTTTTTAATAGGACAAGATTCAGATATCGCTCCCAGAACATACCCAAAGGTTCACACATCTTGTACCATATTTATTTGACTCCTGGGTCTATGGGTACTAAGGTAATGGGTGGCTATCTTCAACTGAGTTTTACGCAGAGTAGACCTGTTGAAATTAATGGGCCCAACTTAATCATGCTAATTAATTTTAATAGGTCTACTCTGAGAAAAGTTAGTTGAGTACCACCCAATGTATTTAAAGCGTTTCCCCTCTCCAGAACATGGTCAGTTTGCTTAGAACAGCCTCCTGAACGTGATGCCCTGAAGACGTCCAACTCCCATTAGCTAAAGTTGCCATAGGGATGATGGGCGTTGTAGTGCAAAACATCTGGAGGGCACCAGGTTAGGGATGGCTTGTTTAGAATGTGTTTCTCAGGTATTGAAGAATGAGAATAGGCCTACTGGAGTACGTGGACATGAACCAGAAGACTAATGTAAAGATTATAATTTTTGGTAACAACCTTCAAATAGCCTTCAGAAGATGCCTCAGTGCCTGTGTTGGGACTCTGCCATCAAGGGCAACATTAGGCATGTACCTCCTGAAAAGACTGCTTCACATCCCTTAATGTCAGCCATCCATGCATACCTTGGCAAGAGGTCTGTGGACTGACTGCACTAGTTGTTTCCTCTAGGAAAAATGAACATTTGGTTTCCTAACCCGTATGTTCTGGGGGTGGGTTAGTATTATTTTTTAGCTGACCCCCAAAAAAGTGTAGGGGTTGTTCCTACACTGAAACTCAAGGAAAACCCAAGATAACTCAGTACAGGATGAAGTAAAGCCAGAATGTGAAATGGCTTAGTGCTTTTACTATTCCCGATCAAGTTATATCCAGTTAATGTGTGTGTTTTTCCTCCTGAAATTTTACACATGCATGGCTACATTCCAAAATATATCAATGAGAGTTCAGAACACAAATGCCAGTTTTCTCTTTTGTAAATCTGCTCCTTTTACATTGTGATATGTTCCATGTGGTCATTCATTATAATTGCAACAGAAGTGGGATAAGTATGTTTTTTTGAACAAAACAAAACAAAAAAATGAGAGGGGCATGGGGAGGTCACCCATGGAGGTGATGAAATTGACCCATGGGAAGAAGGGGGTATTTAATCTCCCATTGCTGATAGGTTAAGTGTATCTTAGAGTTGGACAAGGAGCCAGCCATGAAGGGAGGTTTTCTGTTCAAGATAAATGAGTTCCCTTCCTTCAGGAGGCCATTCCCTTGGCTACCTGATTTCTTTATGACATCCTGGCAGCCACTCCAGTTTGTCTCTCACTGTGAGACAGTCAGCACCACGCTCCTAGCACTGCAGGAAAAATAAACTCATCCAAACCAAGTAAAACACTTGGAAAAACATTGTCATGAATTGTGGTTCACTTGAAAGTTATGCATAAAGGGTTTTTTTTTTTAATGTGGTAGGGAAGGCAAACCATGTGGAGACAGGCACTTCTTTATTCAAGTTCCTTTGAGCTTCTTCGAAGGATGCTGGCTTGGAAAAGGCACATGAATGCGGAGGTTGAAATGAAAGGGAACAAAATCAGTTGAGTGCAAGCTATGTTAATTTGACCACAGATCACTTGACCTTGTCCAGAGAAATGCTCAGACGGGACTGTGCACACATGAGGTTCATGAGGTTCCCTCCAGAAATCAGATTCTCAGGCAGAAAGTGCGCAGGATGTGAAAATGTAACTGTCACTTTCTTTGATTCCACTTTGGTAATCTTCATACAGCCAAAAATAACGTCACCCACTCAAGATAGAGCTGGGTTCTTCTTCATCATGCAGAGAGGATGGTGTTGATGCCTCTGAGAAGTGGGCATGCAGGTCCAGCCGCCCGGACACCCCAAATTCTGGGACTTTGGTTTCCTCAGTGGGCAACTTATAATATGCGACTGGCAGTTTAGAGAAGAAGCTGTGCTGGTAATAGTGATGAGGATAATCATTTTTCAAAGACACATCTAGGGACTTACAGAGCAACCTAGGACAGGGAAGACTTAAGGCTTTGCATCTATGAGCTGTGTGTGAAATCTTCACAACCCACTGCCTCCACTCCAAACCAATTCCTGAAATGTTTTAGGATTGTTAAATGGATCCTGGGCCTGACCTAGCTGAGCCTACTGTTGTGCCCCTCATTGCACCATCTCTTCACTAGTGCCCCAAACACCTTCTCTATGCTCTTCACATTGCCTAGACCTGCCTCTCTTTGGCCACTCCTATTATATTCGGCTGTTGGACATGAATTGAGAAAGCTAGAGGCAGTGTTGAAATGAAGCTGGGAGCAATGCCAAGGCTCTGGAACTCCATCCTCAGGGAACTTGCCATCTCTTTCATGGTTTTGTGCCATGTGGCAAAGGGATTTCATTGCCAACCTTCCTCCTTGTCTTTTAGGGACATTTTAACAGTGAAGTTTGATCGGTTGGTGTTTCTATAGTACCACTATTTTAAGTCGGGGTAGCCAACACGATGCCCTCCAGAATTTTCGGACCACAATTCCCTGCAGCTGGCTGAGGCTGATGGGAACTATAGTCTACCCCTATTGTCATAGAATCATAGAATTTAACGTGGGTTTTCTTTTTCTTTATTGCTGTGAAATGTATGTTTCGTTCTGCTGCTTCTGGGCATTTAACTCTGCCTTCAATAATTTACTTTATTTTCTTTTTTAAAAAGTATTTAACACCTACTGTTTATTAGCTACCTTGGCAAGCTATAAATGCTTTAAATAATACAAACAAAGTCTGTCTTAGCTCATCTTAAGGGTTTTGATGTATATGGCATCTGCTATGGGATAGCAAAATTTCCAGCAATACGTAATCCTAGTGCTTTACTATTGCTTTGGTTTGGTGTCCTTGCTCAGCTGAAGAAAAGGCAGGCCTCTTTACCAAATCTGGAAAAGCAACAGATTCTGGACTGAACACAGTTGCCAGGTGCCCAGTCATGTTGCATCTTCTTCCTTTCTTAGCAGCTGGAAGAGAAGAAAACATGCATTGATGTCCTTCCCAAACCTGCAATACAGATATAAAAGGAAATAATGTGACGGATTAAATTTGATATAGGCAAACATAAAATGCTTCAAAGTTTTTGCTGTTTGAACGTCATTTGCTCACTTGTCCTGCAAACTTTATACTGGTGGTTGACTAAGGTTGCCCCAAAAGTTGTTGAGCTATTTAAAACACGAACGCCAAAAGAACATGATTTTTCAATTGACTTGCCTAAGATCCAGGACAAAGACATACTTCCTGGACGTATGGCAGCCCTAGGTTTACAATGGTTCCTTTTACAGGTGTATTTCACTGGCTACGAAAAGCCCATAATCCCAAAAACACAACTGCTCCAAAAAGTTTCAAAAATTGAAGAGTTGTCCAGACTAGTTATTGCCTCCAGTCCCAGCAGCCTTATAGGGAGTTGCGCTAATGGATATTTTTGACCTTGACAATTAATAAAGCTGTATGCTTACTTAATGTGCTCTAATATTCACATGAAATTTATTTGTTGATTGTGTGTGTGTTATATCTTGCAGGTTGATATCATACGTTTATCGTATTGGTTAATATTTAACTTTAGACTTTGATTTTTTTCTGGTTGAACTGCTTTTGATGGACAGTTTTTACCGATGGAAAACTTGGGCTATAGAAATAAACTGACAATGACTACGCTAGTGTATTTTTCTCAGTATTTTCTTTTGGTCAGTTAGGAACTTTTTGTGGAGAAAGAAAAGCATGTATAAGATCTAAGAACCCAAGCCTTGTCAGGCATTTTTGAAAGGCACAGGCATCATGACTACAAAAAAATAGGCAGCCCTTGAGGGCGACCAATGTTGTACCAAGGGAACACCACACCATTATTATTATTATTATTATTATTATTATTGATTATTATTATATTATTATTATTTATTATTATATTATTATTATTATTATATTATTTTCTGCCCTTCATCCACAGATCCATCAGGGTGCCTTCACAACATAAAATTTCCAATATAACCACAACAATGCCTAACTAAAAATAAGAAACAACAACAAAACCAATAATCTCCCCTCCCACGACATATTGTAAAACACGAGCTGGGAAAGAGCATATGTGGAAAATCTCAGCCTTCACTCATCCCTCACTTGGAAACAGGCCTACATTTCCCATTCCATTTGGAAAGCGTTCTCGCTAGTTTTAAAATCATGGTCATTATCACCTGAAAAAAAGGAAGGAAAGCCCAAAGATGCATTTAGTCAAAAATAATACATGGGAAGGAGAAAGCTTGAAGAGGAATATCCTTAAAACCAGCTCATTTGCAAGCCCAACAAAATCAACGGTAGGGGGAAAATCCTTCAGTAGATTGTACAGCCACCAGCAATAGCCTTTATGCTTGGAAATTTTATGGCGCCATGGACAGTTTATAAGAATACGATTGTAGTTCATCATGTGAGCCAAACTGATGGAACACATGGAGCATTCGGACAAGTTGAAGTTTGAGTTTGGAATAATACCCTTAAAAACTTTTGATAGAGTTGTTTTGTTAGCTAGTAAAACAGTAGGAAGCCTTGATGGGCCAAACTAAGGCTTCAAACATAAATATATATTCTATAAAGTCACCAAGCTGCCTTAATGAGATTCCCTAATGTTTTTCACCAAAGTAGTATCTTATCCAAAAACATTTAAAACCAGAAAACAGAAGCGGCGGGCCAGACCTTGCTGCAGGCTGAAGTTCGATTAATCAGTCAGCGGTTGCTAGCGACAGTTAACAGAAATCGTGGACTTAAGGACCAGATTTGGAATCAGGGCACTGGAAATGCTCAAGAGACAGTCTAATTTTGGAAGCTCTTGAGAAGGAAACTTCACGGACACTGGAGCGCCTGGGTGAAAAGGTTGATTAAACAAAATCCAGTATAGGTAAATTTGAATTTCAAGCTGATGTCGTCAAGCTGGTTATGGTATTCTCCTGGAAATTGGGATGTGGATATGGGCAGGGCATAGAAAAATAAAACGAAAAGTAAATTGCCTGGTGATCCAAAGCGGTGCCTGATGGGCATCTGCGACATGGCTCAGAGGCTCTGAAAGTTTCAGCTTCTGACTGTGAGCTAAGTATGGTGCCCCAGAGGGATACTGTTTCTTTCAGCATCATTTGTGATGTGTGTGTGCTGTGCTTGGCTGGATGAATTTTCCCAGTCTGCCATTGTGAAAAGAAATTCATTTTCAGTTCTGACAAAAGAAAACAGAATCCGTTTCCAAGTCAAATGTTTGAGTACATTCGACTCTGTAGCAGTGACCTCAAAGTGTAGAATCTGGACACACCAGTTTTGTTGCCAGGAATATTAGCAAATGGCCGACAGCAGAAAGAGAGCTAATGTCTGGCTCATGTGTCTATCTGTTTTTGAGGGTGAAATGGGGAATTACATTAAGACCTTGAAGTAACAAAATGTGAAGAAAAAGTGAAAGCAAAGCTGACTTAAACGTCACAAAGGGATTGTGCAGAAACTGACTAAAAATCACATAGTAACATTCAGGTATTTCAATTAAATTTCAATTTAATGGTGGAAATACCCAGAACCCGACTCCAAATGAATTCGAAGCTGCTATTTACCACTCCAAGTGGCAACGAGTAGGAGAGGACTTCTTACATTTGGAGATATATTTGTGTCCAGGGTAAGTACATTTGTAATGAATAAATGATATTTTTTTTAAATGACAGGAAAGTTGGAACCTATGAAGCATTAATTTAGTTGCTCTTTTCATGTTTGAACGGTTAGACTTGTCTCATCCCTGTTGCTTTGTTGAATTTCTGAACTTTTCTTGTTTCACTATAAAATAAAACTTTTAATTCAATTCTTTCATTTTTAAAATTAAATTATTAGAAAGCCATTTTACTCTTACACAAGCAGGAAAGGGAGACATCTTGGGACTTTTCCAAATCTCCGCTTTGTTTACAAAAGAGGGGGAAATACAATTTCCCTGGGATGCTTCCAAAACCTTCTCACATGGAGGTTACACAGGAGGCGGCTCATTAAATTTGAGCAGAGGAACTGGAAAATGAGATTTCACACTTCCTGGGATGGCGGGGAGCTGCCCATGTTTGGGGTTTCACAAAATCTTTAAAAGATATTTGGCAAGTTAGTGTGCATGGTTTCATTGAAATATTGTGGGGTTAAGTGAAAAATATATTGCAAGTCCTCTCCAACTGGAGTTAATTGGGTTTATCTACTCAATCAAAAGGGTAGAGTTTCATGATAGGAAGCTCACAGGTTTCAATTAGCAGTAGGGCCCTTCAATCAGTTAAAGATTTTGCTGCCAAAAACCATGCCAAACTGTTTAGAGAACAGGAACAGAAAAACACCAACAAGTAAGTAGGATCCATGACTAGAACTAAGCACGGCAGGTATGACAGCGAGAATGCTCTATCAGTTGTTCTTTACAGTACCCGGCGTCAGGAGCTTAATCACAGAGCCCTAGTAGGCTAACATATGCTGTAACTAGTCATCCAATCAATGGTGTGAAGACGGTAAACCTGTCGCTACCCTAATGAGAACGGGTAACATCGTGCTCAGGAATTGCATTAAAACGGGGGGAAAATACGGTAGTTAAACCTTCCTCACAGGTAGCTAGGTAATGGAGGTGAGAGAAAAGGCCTGCCAATTGCACCCACTTTCCCTACTTGGTGCTTGACCTTAAAAAGCAACGGCCTCGGTCCAGTGATACCCTGAAAGGAGCATCTCCACCCCCATCATTCTGCCCCCGGACGCTGAGGTCGCAGCGCCGAGGGCCTTCTGTCAGTTCCCTCACTGCTGAGAAGCCAAGTTACAGAGGGAATCCAGGCAGAGGCCTTCTCGGTAGTGGCACCCGCCCTGTGGAACACCCTTCCCACCAGATGTCATAGAGAGAAAGAGACAAATACCAGACTTTTAAGAAAGACATCTAAAGGGCAGCCCCTATTTTAAGGGAAGCTTTTAATGTTTTATAGTTTATTGTTATTTTAGTGTTTCTGTTGGAAGCCGCCCAGAGTGGCTGGGGAAACCCAGCCAGATGGGTGGAGGTAATAAAATAATAAATAATAAATAAATAAATAAAATAAAATAATTATTATTATTTGAGGCTTATGATTTATGTGGAAATTTTTTTCAAATTTGGTTGTTGTACTTTTGATGTCTTGTTATGTTTGTAGTTATGTCATTGTTTTAATGTATGGGGCGGCAAAATTGATTTTTTTTTTTTTCTTATATTTTCTTTGCGGGGCCGAAAGGGGTAACAAGGCATACAAATAAATGATTGATTATTCTTCTATGGCCGCTGGCTGAGAAAATCCATTTGAACCAAACTGAAATGTTATAAACACAACCAAAAAAACTGCTTTTCCATGGAAGAAGAGGAGTTTGAAACCAGAAACTGTAACATATGCAAAGCTTTTAAATGGTGAATCAAATGTAAATATTTAATAGAATGATTATTGGCTCCTGCTGTGAGGATGTTTTACAAGCAACTGGAATAGCTCTAGAATCACTAGTATGCTTTAAATGTTAATTCACAACCTTGCATTGTTCACCAATATCTGCTGGTATACAGATGCCAGGGCCATTTTTCCCATATAGTCCCATAAGTTGTTGTGCCTTTTTTTGTGGACACTGCCCTGCTGGCTGCAGATATTCCGGATGTTGTTCAAGGAAATTCCAAGACGTTATTTGGCCACCCTGTCTCTTATCTTGTCCTCTTTCATTATGAAAGAAGAATGCCCCTACATACATTGTGCTTTTCTTTCACATAGGAAAATAATGGCATTTTGTGGATTGTGGTTGAATCTCTACCGGCACTAAGAAAAGTTCATGCCCATTTTAGCACACCACTGAATTCACACAGGTTTTTTTGAAACTTCTTACAAAGTATGAAATTTAAAGAATGAATGGGGACGCGGGGTGGGCTGGTGCGTTCTAAACCACTTGAGGCCCAGGGCTTGCCGATCAAAAAGTCGGCGGCTTCGAATCCCCTGCGACGGGGTGAGCTCCCATTGCTCTGCTTCCAGCCTTCCTTTGCCAAAACCTGCCAAGTTTTAAAGCACCCAAAAAAAGTGCAAGTAGATTAATACGGTACCGCTCCGGGCGGGGTAGGTAAACAGTGTTTCCATGCGCTGCTCTCGGTTCGGGTTCTGTTGCGCCAGAATCGGCTTAGTCGTTGCTGGCCACTATGACCTGCGAAAAACCGTCTGCTTAAGCGGACAAACTTCGGGCTCCCTCGGCTCCGTAAAGCGAGATGAGCGCCGCAACCCCAGAGTCGTCGGGACTAGTCTTAACTGTCAGGGGGGTCTTCTTTACCTTTACATAGTATGAACTGGAGCCAGATAATTCAGTGACCAGGCCTAGACGAAGAAGAACGAAGAGTTTG